GACTTCTAGATTTAGTAAGATTCAGACACTAATAAAATGTTCCCTTCCTCATCACACATTGCAGAGGAAGTTTGTGAATGGCCATGTCTAACCTGCTGGGAGGTGCCCGTTTGCTTGGGCCTGTGCCTCCCATCTTCAGATACTCCCCACAAATGAGGGAAGGAGCAGCCCCGTCACCTACTTCAAAATGTGTGAGGTTAGAACTTTATGAACACTAGTTTATTAGAATTAGGTGGGACCCTGAACTACGTTGGATTATAAGCAGGACGCAGGCCAGGTGCAGCATTCTTACTAGAATTAGGAAGTTTAGGATGAAGATGGTTTCCAAAGGTCTCAGCCATGGGCAGGTGGCAGGAGGCCTTGGTGCCCTCTCATGCCTGCAGACACAGGGGTCACTGGGTCACCAGAAGCCCACAGCATGGGACCCACGTGCTGCCTTCTAAAGCAGCTATGAATTTTCCTTTACTTAGTTTTGTAACATCTTCAAATGAATGGATTACAGTGTGAAAAGATTTAAGCCTAATGGTGAAAGCCTCATATTTATAAAAAACTGACCCCTAGAGAGCACCACAGCATATTGCTGACCCTTGACCTCAAAGTAGGGATGTCCCTGACCCCAACCTCATGATAGGGATGTCCTTGACCTCTGGCCTCACAAGGGTGGTCTCCAGGCCCATAGCAAGGCTAAGGGAAATGTGGGGACAACACCTTAGTCAGGTCCGCCTATGTCTGGGGCTCTGTTTGGAGGCTGTCCTCCCAGAATATATTCCCGTCTTTCCTGCTAGACTTGCACTGCACCCCAACCGTGAGCTGGGGTACTATTTTAGCTCAAAGCAATGACAAGAGGAATGTCTAGGTACATGGTGCTCAGTGGAAGCAGATGCTGGATGCAGAGGAGCAACAGGCAAGACAAGGCCCAGGGTCAGATACCAGGAAGACCAGGAATGAAGTGGTTTTGGGGGGCTGGAGCCACAGTGGCAGGTCTGGAAGCAGGAGGTGGGAAGCCGCTGACTACAAGTGTCAGTGTTCCCGAAGGGCTGCTGAAAGAGAGGTGCCCCCATGGAGGAACACGCACAGCAAGACAACCCCAACGCTGGCTCCAATGAGTAGAGCCACGTGAGCACTCAGCAGAGGCTTTTCTTTTAGAACCGAACACAAAAAACGGGAGGAACAGGGATGTTGGAACCCAACATGGACAATGACTTTAAACATACTAGAGTATCTAGAGCCCTCAGAAAGGCAGATCTTTGGGCCTGGAACGAAAGCTCAGTGGTTAAGAGCACTGGCTACTCTTGCAGAGGACCTGGGTTCAATTCCCAGCACCCACATGGCCACTAACAACAGTCTGTAACTCCAGTTCCAGGGGATCCAACACCCTCTTCAGGCTTCCATGGGCATTGCATGACACAGGTGCACTTACACACATGCAGACAATGCACTCATACACAAAAATAAGGGTATGTATTTTTAAAAGGTGGACCCTCTAGCAGGGTTAGTAAAACAATGACTTGAGATCTGGGCACGCCTCAGTGGTACACAGCATGTGGGGGTGCCAGGGCCACCCATGCTATGACCTCACTCTCTGCACTTCTGTATATTAACCTTTCCCAATTTTACAAACTTACCTGTTTTGTTTTAAAGATTTATTTTTTTGGACTTTTTGAGACAGGGTCTCCCTGTAACCCCAGCTGTCCTGGAACTCACTATGTAGACCAGGCTGGCCTCAAACTCACGAAGATCTACCTGCCTCTACCTCCCAAGTGCTGGGATTAAAGGCGTGCGCCACCTCGCCTGGCCTGTTTTAAAGATTTTTTATTTATATTTTATATGTATGACTGTTTGCCTAAATATATGTATGTATACTGCATGTTTTCTATGCCGTGAAAAGTCAGAAGAGGGCATCAGATCCCCTGGAACCTGAGTCATGAATGGTTGTGAGCCCCTGTGTGGGTTCTGGGAACTGAACTTAGGTCCTCTGCAAGAGCAGCAATGTTCTTTTTTAAAAAAAATATCTTATTTATTATTTTCATTTATTTATTTATTTTATTATTTATTTA